CGGACGACGAAGCTAAATGATTAAATTCCGCCGTTTTCCTGTGAAAGAAAGATAGAAATTAGAAGGGGTAAACAAATGAATTTAAATTTAAATTTTACTCACATTTTGATTGAGGTGCAGGTTCACGACGTTGAAAAGAGCTCTATTCAAGGTTAGGTAACCAGGCATTTTATTTCGCTCGTCGATTTTTTTGGTTGTCGACACCACTCCTTTGTTTGTCCTTCCCTAAAATTGAAAAAAAAAGAAACATAAAAAAAAATTGAACGTGGAATATAATTAAAAAAGCTAGACATTAACAATACGTTCGTACTTACCAATTGGGAAGAACCTCAAACATTAGCAGCCTTTACTGTTCCATACTTTTTGTCGACCGCCATCGCAACCTGAAAGGAGAAAGGAGCAAATATGATATTTTAAAATAATTTTGGCGCTGTAAATCTATATCTTCGATTTTTTTGTCATTATGTTTTTTTTATAACATATAAAAGCCTTGTTGAATTGTTCATATCTTTGAAGAGCAAAATTGGCTGAATAAAATGTACAAATTTTTTATAGAAAAGATAAATATGTTTTCGGCTTAAAGCCCTATTAAAAAGGTGGTGGCCATGGGATAAAATGTGGTAAGTTAAGGGTCAAATCTGGGACGTCAGGGATAAGTAGACGTCATGGCGAGAGGTGTTCTCGGAGGGAGGGATATCTCCTGGTTGGTCAGCCGCCAGGAGCACTGTTTTCTGTGGTGATAAAGTAAAGTAAGTTTGGGATTTGGGTTGTAGTTTAGGTGAACGGTTTCTTTTTCTTTTTTTTATAGACATGTTTCAGGCTTCCTTTTATCCCCCTTTTAGATTTTGTGTGAAGTCCGGTATGATTTTTTGTTTGTTCAACCGAAAAGGTCTACAAGTGGCAAGACCCAACCCCCAATCCGACGAGCCATAGCCGCGCTAAACGCCAGCATACCGGCAACGCCACTTAAGGATCACCACAGCGATTTTTCGTTCATTTTCTTGGAACACGGTTGTTACAGCTGCGATGATTTTTCAAAGTCATTCACACTTTTCAAGCGACATGTAATAACCACAATGGCATTCGAAGAAGTCTGCATAATTGGCGATGTTGTACGGCTATATTTTTAGTTTCTTTAACAGTGCAAAAAATGTTTGTGTTTTCAAACATTCGTTTTTTTCGCCGCTTAATGAGGTCTTTTAATAGCTTGCGAACGAGATTTTTGTGCAATTTACAACTATTTCTGTTTTAGAATTAATCATTTAAATGTGCATTTTGACATGGTGCAAATATTTTGATTAACATGTTTGTTCTTATTTATTTTTGTTGGTTTTTGTTGCATTCTTGGCGAATTAGTTATGTTGCAGTGTTGTAAATACATAAACATAAATCATAAAAAAAATGTGGAGATACTTTTAGGTATTGATGTTATTTATGACTGACTGATTCGTTGCTGGCTTAGGGATTGTACAAATGATTATCTAATCGGCAATATTTGGGTTTTTTTTTAATATTTGCTGAACATTTTAAACCGTTGAAAATGAAATTACAATCAATTATCTGTGCATAGGCAGGATGTAACGTAAGAAGAAAAAAAAAACAAGTAAAAAGGTCGGTCCGAACTTTAAGAACCCTCTAATTCGAGGTAACGAAAACCTTTAAAAACAAGTTAAAAAGTATCAATAGGTTTAGCCGACAGATGTATACCCTTGCCATTGAAATCGTTTGCAAATTGCAGTAAGTCTTCAAAATACCATAAAGTGGAGGGTACCGACATTTGTGGGCTGTACTGAAGTGAGAAACTACATATGAAATTTCCCGCTACAGTGGCATAGACTAACGAATGTATAGACGAAGGGAACCGCTTATTATCGAAAAAATTCTGATTAGCAAATGTCGTCCATTTCGTTTCAGAGTTTTTCAGTAAAATATTGAAGTTATTCGATTTTAAGATGTTAAAAATATCAACAACTTGAGGATATTTGATAGTTCAAAACTATTGCATAATAAGATTTAGGTGTACATGACCTGATGACAACGAAAAATAGGGGAATAAACAAATGAAGTCCTTGAATGACGGTGAAATGTGTTTTCGAAGTCGAGTAGATCCACTGCCTAAAATCAGAATATCCATAGGAAAACGTGGATCAATATTGACAAGGTTCTAAGAAAGGAGATAGAACCTATTTCGAACTCTAAATTCTGAATTTGAAACAATGGCACTCTATATCAATTTGTCCGAAAGATAGCGTGATTACAACAAACAGGCGGATGGACAAATACACCTACAGACAGATGGATATAGCTAAATCGACTTTTAATTTTACACTTATTAATACTAATTTGTAGGGTCTAACTTCAATATACCCTCCATGGTATGGTGGTAAAAAAACGTAAAAGAGCCCCACTCACATAAAGTCTGCATCTCACTTAACCATCAATCAGGAATTTTGTACCTGGACTAGCCTTAACCTCCAAAGTCCAAAAATATCTCCATATTCCCTCGAAGATATGTGTTACCCAACATTGACAGCTATCCCAAATAGAAGACCTATACTTTAAAGAAAAATTAGAAGATGGGAATTTAAAACAATCAAAGGATTTAAAACGGGATATTTACTGATTTTTGCCCACGAACTGTAATCAAAAATATCAATCTTCGGCCAGTTCAGAGAGAAAATGTATTTTAGTTCCGTTTCCTTGGGAATATTAACGAAAAAATAAAATTTTTGTTCGTTGAAAAGTTTTTTGACATTCACGATGATAAACGTTAAAAAGACGGATCCTTTTTTCCAGTGACCCGGTTCACCTATCAACTTTTGGACAATGCCTGATTTTACATCTTCCCAAATTTCAGGATCAACATCAATGCAAATTTTAAAAATTCAAAAATGCAGAAAAATTCGCAGATGAAGATTGTATCCGTTGAACATTGTTCGACATCGCCGATGTTGATGTTAAGAAAGGACCCAGGTGCACATATCAAATTTTGGCGAAAGTCTCACAGGTTTAGCATATTCCCGATTTTAGAAACCAACAGCAAAGCAAATTGTAATTTTTTTCTCTATTTAATTTCAAAGTCAAATAAAAAAAATCCAAAAAATAAAAATTTGTCGCCGTTGAAAAAAATTCCTTTCAACATCGACGTTGATAAAATTTAAAAAAATGCCGGCTTTGTTGTTTATTTGAAATTCAAACATTTTTCAATTTCTTTACATTTGAATCGGACCTATAATTTTCGATCTCTTATTGTGGTTTAAAAGGAATCGTTATCCGGGATAAAAATACTATAGTACAACAAGCATTGGATAGAAAACAATGAAAATTATGGAAAACATTTGAAACTGTCACTAACATCGCTGTTTAAAGAATGTCATATCGAAAGAAAAAAATAATAAATTTGAAAATTTTCAAAATGGGGAACAATTGTGAAATCATATTAAAATATAAACCCAACAATGAGTTAGCCTCGGTAAAGTCTACAACAAGCATTATACAATAAAAATTATGGAAAACATTTGAAATTGTCACTAACATCGCTGTTTGGAGAATGTCATATCGAAAGCGGAAAATGAAAAAATAAATAAATTTGAAATTTTTCAAAAAGGGGAACAATTGTGAAATCGAATTAAAATATAATCCAAACAATTTTTTAGCCGCGGTTAAGTTTACTGATCACATTTAACGGTTCAGAGCAAATCCATGTGATGCATTTATTTTAATTTTGGTATGAATAAATGTACAATCAGAAAAAAAATCTTTTTGCCAAATATTTTAGATCAGAAAAAAAATATTCAACCAAAATTGGTGGTTATTTCAAATTGACAAGAAAGTTTGTGTTACATAAAGGCTGACATAGGTGAAGAGTGCAAAAAATTACCATGTTATTACGGAATGTGCATGGAAGGATGCTGATGCTGTTAAACCAAGCTAGTCAATCGATCTTATGCTTTTATACGGAATTGCAGCAACTTTACTAAGAGATGTTTATCTTTAGAGATTTTCATAAGGAATTGTAAGTCTCAAAATAACTCAAATTTATAGATTATATAAATCCCTTCTCCAAGCTTGTCAAAAAATACAGAATGTATCATGCGATCATAATCTATATAAATACAACTGGTTTAAAATTTGACACCGATGACCAATATAATTGGTGAAACACCATTCAGGTTTGGTTTAGTTTAAGGATTCTTAGATCAGACCTGGTAAGTGACAGAAGGGAGTTTTGGTTCAGATGGCCTTAGATACCTTGTAAAGAGCCCCACTCACATAAAGTCTGCACCTCACTTAACCATCAATCAGAAGAGCAATGACAAAAGCGGAGCGGTAAAATGATAAACTTTTGATAAAATGATAAAAAAATTGGATATTTACTGATTTTCGCCCAGCAAGATTTGCTTTAATCCACTGCAATCAAAAAACATCAATCGTCGGTCAATTCATAGCGAAAATGTATTTTTGGCCCGGTTCGTTGTCAATAATTGGTTTGTTCCAGAATCTACAAGAATCTACTAGTTTTGCAATTTTCTCCGATAACATAAAGAGAAAATCTGTTGTCGTAGTAAAAACTTTTACATTCTTGCACTTCTGGAACAGACCAAATAATGGAAAAAATGAAAAAATTAAAATTTTTCTCGTTGAAAAAAGTTTTTTTGACACCGACGAGATAAACGTTAAAAAAACACGGCTCCTTTTTTCCAGTGACCCTGTTCGCCGGTCAACTTTTGGCGAATGTCTGATTTTACATGTTCCCCTTTTCAGAATCAACTTCAGTGCAGATGTTAAATGTACAAATTGCAGAAAAATTCAAATAAAGATTGTATCCGTCGAATATTGTTCGACATCGCCGATGATGATGTTAAAAAGGACCCAGGTGCACGTATCAAATTTTGGCGAAAGTCTCGCTGGTTTTGCATATTCCCGATTTTAGAAACCAACAGCAAAGAAAATTTATAATTTTCTGTCGAATTAATTTCAAAACAAAAAAAAAAAAAAAACTCAAAAATAAAAATTTGTCGCCGTTGAAAATTTTTTCTTTTGACAACGACGTTGATAAAATTTAAAAAATAATGCCGGCTTTGTTGTTTATTTGAAATTCAAACATTTTTCAATTTCTTTAGATTTGAATAGGACCTATAATTTTCGATCTTTTATTGTGGTTTAAAAAGAATCGTTATCCGGGGATAAAAATACTATATTACAACAAGCATTGGATAGAAGACAATAAAAACTATGGAAAACATTTGAAATTGTCACTAACATCGCTATTTGAGGAATTTCATATCGAAAGGGAAAATGTTCAAAAAGGGGAACAATTGTGAAATTGAATTAAAATATAATAAAAAAAATTTTTAGTCGCGGCAAAGTCTACAACAAGCATTGGATAGAAGACAAAAAAATTATGGAAAACATTTCAAACTGTCACTAACATCGCCGTTTGAAGAACGTCATATCGAAAGGAAAAAAGAAAAAATAAATTTGAAAATTTTCAAAAAGAGGAACAATTGTGAAATCGAATTAAAATATATTCCAAACAATTTTTAGCCGCGGTAAAGTTTTTGAACATTTTTAATGGTTCAGAGCAAATCCAGGTAATGCATTTATTTTAATTTTGGTATGAATAAATGTACAATCTGAAAAAAATTCTTTTTGCCAAATATTTTAGATCAGAAAAAAATATTCAACCAATATTGGTGGTTATTTTCAAATTGACAAGAAAGTTTATGTTGCATAAAGGCTGAAATAGGTGAAGAGTGCAAAAAATTACCTTGTTATTACGAAATGTGCATGGAAGGATACCGATGCTGTTAAACCAAGCTAGTCAATCGATCTTATGCTTTTATACGGAATTGCAGCTCAACTTTACTAAGAGATGTTAATCATTAGCGATTTTCATAAGGAATTGGAATTCTCAAAATATCTCAAATTTCTCCAAGCTTGACTAAAAGATACCGAATGTATCATGCGTTCAAAATCCATATAAATACAACTGGTTTAAAATTTGACACCGATGACCAATATAATTGGTGAAACACCATTCAGGTTTGGTTTAGTTTAAGGATGTGCGCCTACACGGAAGTCAACAGCTACTTTACTCAGAGACTTTTGGTCCTTTATGTTCATCCTGGGAAGAATAACGTTGTTGGTGATAGGAAAGATCGAAACAAGAAATGGAAGAAACAGGTTGGAGAGAGATTTATAGTTTGCAGTGCGGTTTACCTAGTCAGGGAAAGCTTTTTGCAAATGTGTAGATGTTAATGGGATTTATGTTTGAGAAGAACGTTGGAGTTTCTACCTCTCTAGCTGAATATATACTGCAGCGGTGTCAGTATGCCTACCAAGATTCTTAGCGACCAAGACCTGGTAAGTGATAGAAGGGAGTTTTTTCTTTTTTCGAGATTTCCGGTCAGATGGCCTTAGATACTTTGTAAAGAGCTCCACTCGCATAAAGTCTGCCCGTCACTTAAACATCAATCAGCGGGGCAATGACAAAAGCGGGACGGGACAGAATATATGATGATCAGATAAAAAATACAAACATGTACTTAAGCTGGCATTAACTTGTAAAATCCCAAACTATCTCTATATTCCCTCGAAGATATGTGTTACGCAACATTGACAGCTACTCCTAATAGAAGAACTATATTTAAAAGAAAAGTTACAGGATGAGAACTAATCAAAGGATCAAAAAGGGGATATTTACTGATTTTCGCCCAGAAAGTTTTGCTTTGAATCCACTGCAATCAAAAAAACATCAATCATCGGCCCATTCAGAGCGAAAATGTATTTTTGGTCCGGTTCGTTGTCGATAATAATGGAATAAAATGAAAAAATAAAAATTTTTCTTGTTAAAAAAGCTTTTTGACATCGACGATGATAAACGTTAAAAAAAAAACACGGATCCTTTTTTCCAGTGCCGGTCAACTTTTGGCCAATGTCTGATTCTACATGTTCCCAATTTCAGAATCAACATCAGTGTAGATGTTAAATGTTCAAAAATGCAGAAAAATTCAAATAAAGATTGTATCCGTTGAACATTGTTCGACATCGCCGTTGATGATGTTAAAAAAAGGACCAAGGTGCACATATCAAATTTTGGCGAAAGTCTCACTGGTTTTGCATATTCCCGATTTTAGAAACCAACAGCCAGGAAATTGTAAAATCTTCTATCTATTTAATTTCAAAACCAAACAAAAAAATAATAATTCAAAAATAAAAATTTGTCGCCGTTGGAAAAATTTCCTTTTGACAACGACGTTGATAAAATTTAAAAAATAATGCCGGCTTTGTTGTTTATTTGAAACTCAAACATTTTTCAATTTCTTTAGATTTGAATCAGACCTATAATTTTCGATCTTTTATTGTGGTTTAAATAGAATCGTTATCCGGGGATAAAAATGCTATAGTACAACAAGCATTGGATAGAAAACATTGAAAATTATGGAAAACATTTGAAAGTGTCACTAACATCGCTGTTTGAGAAATGTCATATCGAAAGGGAAAAATTGAAAATTTTCAAAATGGGTAACAATTGTGAAATCGAATTAAAATATAAACCCAATAATTAGTCGCGGTAAAGTCTACAACAAGCATTGGATAGAAGACAATAAAAATTATGAAAACCATTTGGAACTGTCACTAACATCGCTGTTTGAAGAATGTCATATGGAAAGGATAAAATAAAAAAGAAAAAAAATAAATTTGAAAATTTTCAAAATGGGGAACAATTGTGAAATCGAATTAAAATATAATCCAAACAATTTTTGGCCGCAGTAAAGTTTTTTGAACATAATTAACGGTTCAAGCAAATGCGCTTATTTTAATTTTGGTATAAATAAATGTCCAACCTGAAAAAAATGAAAAAAACTTCTTTTTGCCAAATATTTAGAATCAGAAAAAAGAATTCAACCAAGATTGGTGGTTATTTTCAAATTGACAAGAAAGTTTATGTTGCATAAAGGCTGACATAGGTGAAGAGTGCAAAAAATTACCTTGTTGTTACGGAATGTGCATGGAAGGATACCGATGCTGTTAAACCAAGCGAGATGTTAATCTTTAGCGATTTTCATAAGGAATTGTAAGTCTCAAAATAAATCAAATTTGTCGGTTTATAGATTATATAAATCCCTTCTCCAAGCTTGTCAAAAAATACAGAATGTATCATGCGGTCAAAATCTATATAAATGCAACTGGTTTAAAATTTGACACCGATGACCAATATAATTGGTGAAACACCATTCAGGTTTGGTTTAGTTTAAGAATGTGCAGCAACACGGAAGTCAACAGGCACTTTACCCGGAGACTTTTGGTCCATTGTGTTCATCTTGGGAAGAATACCGTGAATAACGTGTTGGTGATAGTAAAGACCGAAACAAGAAAGGGAAGAAACCGGTTGTAGAGAGATGCATAGTTTGCGGTGTGGTTTACCTAGTCAGGGAATGCTTTTAGCAAATGTGCAGATGTTAATGGGATTTATGTCTGACGTTAGAGTTTCTATTTCTCTCTAGCCGAATAGATACTGCAGCGGTGTCAGTTTGCCTACCACGATTCTTAGATCAGACCTGGTAAGTGACAGAAGGGAATTTTTTCTTTTTTCCATATTGCCGGCCAGATGGCCTTAGAAACCTTGTAAAGAGCCCCACAATCAGTAGGGCAATGACAAAAGCGGGAAGGGACAGAAGATATGATGATCAGAGAAAAAATACAAACATGTACTTAAGCTGGCATTAACTTGTAAAATCCCAAACTATCTCTATATTCCCTCGAAGATATGTGTTACCCAACATTGACAGCTACTCCAAATAGAAGACCTATATTTTAAAGAAAAAATAGAGGATGGGAATTTAAAACAATCAAAGGATTTAAAATGGGATATTTACTGATTTTTGTCCAGGAACTGCAATCAAAAATATCAATCTCCGGCCAATTCAGAGAGAAAATGTATTTTGTTAATGAAAAAAAAAGTTTTTTTCGTTGAAAAGTGGATATCAACACGATGATAAACGTTAAAAAACACGGATCCTTTTTTCCAGTGACCCCGTTCGCCGGTCAACTTTTGGCCAATGTCTGATTTTACATGTTCCCAATTTTAGAATCAACATCAGTGCAGATGTTAAATGTTCAAAAATGCAGCAAAATTCAAATAAAAGTTGTATCCGTTGAACATTGTTCGGCATCGCCGATGATGATGTCAAAAAGGACCCAGGTGCACGTATCAAATTTTGGCGAGAGTCTCGCTTCAAAACCAAATAAAAAAATCCAAAATATAAAAATTTGTCGGCGTTGAAAAAAATTTCTTTTGACATCGACTTTGGTAAAATTTAAAAAAAAACCGGCTTTGTTGTTTATTTGAAAATCAAACATTTTTCAATTTCTTTAGATTTGAATCAGACCTATAATTTTTAATCTTCTATTGTGGTTTAAATAAAATCGTTATCCGGGGATAAATATACTATAGTACAACAAGCATTGGATGGAAAACAATAAAAAATATGGAAAACATTTGAAACTGTCACTAAATTCACTGTTTAAGAATGTCATATAAAAATAAATTTGAAAAGTTTCAAAAAGGGGAACAATTGTGAAATCGAATTAAAATATAATCATATCATTTTTTACAAGCCGAAAAAACGTTAGAACACATTTAACGGTTCAGAGCAAATCCAAGTAATGAATTTAATATAACATGGGTCCAATTTGTCCAATTTGAAAAAATCAGATCAGAGAAAGTTATTCAAAAAGAAAAGAAGCTTTCTAAGATGCAAAACATATTGTCGAAAAATATGAGAAAGTTTATGTTCAATAACGGCTGACATATGTGAAAAAATTGGTTTGTTATGACGGCAACGTGCATGGAAGGGCACCAATGCTGTTAAACCAAGCTAGGGATTGCAACTCAACTTTATTAAGAGATGTTGATTTTAAGCGAATTTCGAACTGGAATTCTCAAAATTGTCGGTTAGTATATTTTATAAGTCCCTTCTCCAAGCTTGACAAAAAAATGCAGAATGTTGCTATATATGACTCTCTAATTATGCTTTCAAAATGTTTAAAATTTGACACCGATAACCAATATAATTAGAGATACAACATTCAGATTTAGTTATAGTTTCTGTATGTTTTCCTCCATTTGAAGGTTTGGCTTGGTTTAAGGATGTGAAGCTACACGGAAGTCAGCAGCTACTTTACTCGGAGACTTTTGGTCCATTGTGTTTATCCTGGGAAGAATAACGTTGTTGGTGATAGGAAAGATCGAAACAAGAAAGGGAAGAAATCGGTTTGTAGAGAGATGTATAGATTGCAGTGTGGTTTGCCTAGTCAGAGAATGCTTTTAGCAAATGTGTAGGTGTTAATGGGATCTATGTCTGAGAATAGCATTAGAGTTTCTATCTCTCTAGCCGTATAGATATTGCAGCGGTGTCAGTATGCCTACCACGATTCTTAGTTTAGACCGGGTAAGTGATAGAAGGGAGTCTTTCTTCTTTTCGAGATTGCCGGCCAGAAGGTCTTAGATACCTTGTAACCGGTTTTCCAGCGTCATCTTCTACCAGCTACATCGATGGGAGGCATTTTGAAGCCTTGACAATCTCATCAAATGTTAGATTAATCGACTGGGAACCACCTCACGTTAATTCATCAGCCATGCCATTCCCCATTGTGTTGACATGCCCTGAAACCAAACTAAGCTTAATGCAGATGTTATTTCAATGCCTACCAATTTTCCATCATTGTACGGATGATGGTGAGTACGCGATCCCTTCGTAATGAGGAGTACGCCCTCACGGTCGGTTGTGGTGGAAAAGAGTAACCTTGGGATTGTTAGAAAAAATCATGTATTTCAAGAAGGGCTTGCTTGCCGTCAAAAATAGCTCTCCAATTAATGATACTTAAATTGGGTCAGAATATGCCAAAATCATTATCCTTTTATCTTGCCATGTAAGAAATTAACCCAAAGGTTAAAATTGAACATTGATCTGAACAATGATTTCATGAGTAAATTCAATTCATAAGTAATGTTCTGGAAAACGCTGAACGTGGCGGTGCTTTCAAAATGTTTGTAATATTGTATGTAGTTGCAAATACATACATACCTACTTACCTCTGTAGTTTAAATTTTGACCCTTTTTTAATTTCACTCGTACACATCTCGTAGCTGGAGACTACCTATTAAATATATTAATTTATTATTTAAAATATATCCTACCTGTTTAAGCTCAATTTTGTGGTTGATTGGATACTTACTTTTTATAGGGGGAAAAACTTATTGCTAATTATGTCTTGGGATTCACCGACTCCATATTCATTTAAATTTGTTATTGTAAGCACTATTTACAAATACACAATTGCCGCATAAAGTTAGTTGGTGTTTCTTTTATTTCATTAGAAAATATAACAATTAACAATTTAAATAACAACGGTCTTGTTATATTTAGTTGGTTACAGAAAAGAAAGTCATTTTGCGCGCCTCTTATTTTTTTACATCACTTGACATTTTCGACAGCTGTTCCATTAACACAGAGTCTACACAATTGCTAACGCCTTTAAAATACGAGAAAACTCTGTAAGCTTAGCTTGTGGCATGATAACTTTAATACATTTTTTTTAATTTTAATACATTGTTGGTAGAATTCTTCATTTAAGTTGAAAACTATATTTTCTGCTTACACAATTTAAAAAAACGTACAATATAACAACTTATATATTTAATAAAAAACCACAATTAAACGTACTTAAAAACATATGTTGCACAACACTGAAAATATTTGTAATAGATTAACTTTGAAGCAGTGTTGTTAAGCGTACACAATTGCATTGAACAGCTGTTCACCTGACAGCACACGCTTTTCAACAAAAGTTGGATGATTACAACATAAAAAGCCCAAGGAATTCCTAATCATTCATCTTTTTTCCTAAAATAATAAATATTTTAAGAGTTTATAAATAAAATAAAGTACAAAAGTAAATCATAAACAATGGCAAACAAGGAAGCAGCAACAACCTCTTTAGATTCTTTGGACAAGGAACAAATGAAAACGGTGGGTATTGTGGACAACAAAAAGAGTTCTGCGATAAAAACTAATTGGATTTATAAATTAAAATAATGTTGTTTATAAATAATTTACAGTTCACAGACTTCCTAATGTCCTATAACAAACTGTCGGAAATGTGTTTCACAGACTGTGTGCGAGATTTCACTGCCAGAGAAGTCAAGGAGAGTGAGGTAAGGTCATGATAAACAGACATCAAAGGCCACAATACATTTGTTTTCTAATTTGATTATGATATTCTTATTTTAGGAAAAATGTTCCCTGAATTGCATGGAAAAATATTTGAAAATGAATCAGAGAATTTCCCAAAGATTCCAAGAGTTCCAAATGATTGCCAATGAAAATGCTTTAGCAATGGCCCAGAAAACCGGCAAGTTATAGAGACATCGGAATGAAGCCAACATTAGCGGCATCACCACCAAATATGTGTTGTAGTCAAACAACGGGGGAGAAGAATACTTAAACACATTCTCAGTTACCTAAAATTGTTTTTTTTTATAAAAAAAAAGTGAAACATGTTTAGTTAAAAACCAGTTTTGTTTTGCATTTCAATAAATGTTTTAAAATCCGAAAAAACAGGAAAAATTTTATTCAAAAACATTATTTTAAATTTCAATTTAAAAAGTTTAAAGATATTAAATTTAAAAACTAGAAATCAATTATGTTTGATATTTTCGATTTAAAAAAATGCTTGAAAGGTAAATAGGCAGCTCTCTACTAAAACTTAAAACAAAAATCTATCAAGAACATATGACAAAAATACTTGTTAATTTGGTTTAAGGGCATTATTAATTAAAGTTGTTTAGACTTAGCTTCTAGGTCGTATGTATTTCTTTTTTCGATATAGATATTAGCAAGTACATTGCATCTTTTAACTACAGCTACATGTTAATATTACTTCTATATCATCGATCAAAAATTGTTATTAGTTTATTTTCGACAAGAAAACAATTAAATTAATGATAAGTCACTTAAATGTAGTAATATTAAGTATTAGTGAGGAGTTTTTTTGTTTTGTTTAGATAGTTGGTAGTGATTGTGGTGGGGGTGGAGGAGATTATATTTAGAGCATCCATCGCTGTTAGTGAGTCGGTGTTGAGCTTTCGGGAAAGCCTTCCACTTCACTTATAAGAGCATATTCCAAAATCACCCGACCTTCCTTGTATCTGTGGGAATAGAAAAAAAAATAAAAATATGGAAAAATACGTTTCTCTTCGAGAGAAAATGAAGGCAAAGGCATCGAATCTATATGAGAATCGAATTTAATCTACCCCTAATGTGTCAAAACATCAAATTGCAGCTGAATTGACACTAAAACTTACAAAATACCGAAGATCTGATTGTACCGTTGTATGGGGGTCATATCAAAAGACAGAGTCAAATTGTTTTACTCAATGAGAACAGTAACAGAACAGAACAGTAGTTACTTAAAAAGTTGAAAGCGAAACCTTCAAGTGGGTCTATATTGAATTTTTTATGCGTGGAGTAAAGAACCCCACAGAGAGTCCAGAATATCAAACAACACCTGAATTTATTGGAAATTAGGGCGGATACCACGAAAATTTCGCAAAGCAAGAGGTATTATGTGGGCCGATTATATATTAACACTTCAATAAGAAACGTCCTAAAATAGCTCTACAGAGCACGCAAACATTTTGGCCGCAGACCTTGGACATTCCAACAGCACTCAGCTCCAACGCACTCAGCACGTGCAACCCAAGAATGGTTACAGAATAAAGTTCCTCGCTTCATTTCCAGCGCACAATGGCCACCAAAATCACCGGATACCAATACGTTGTACTATTGTGACTGGAGTATTTTAGAAAGCAAGGTTGGCATTAAAAAATTCTAAAGTGCACTACGTACTACGTCGGGAATGGGCAGCGTGCGACGGATTCCTTTGCCGTTTGCCAAAGGTGACCAATTCGAACAAATCTAAACTTATTCTAAGATTTGATACTATTTCTGACCTTTTCTTGCTTTCATTCAATAAAATTTAAAAAAATGTTAAAAATTATGGCGTTTGTCTTTTTGCAGTTTTTTTATCTCACCCTGTACTGGACACCTTGTCTTTAAAATCTATAAACTAGGATATGGGCATACCTTTCACCCCAATTTAGAACTAAGATACCTGTTAATTGACCCGTTGTGTTCTATGTGGGATTGAAAAATTTTAGCTAACCATTGTATGTGGGGCTACACGCCATAATGGACCAATATCTCATTCAACATATCATATCACCCATATAATTTGGGTAGATGGACTTTGGATTTACTTAAGTCGTATTCATCTCCTCTAAAAACTCCAAATTCATTTCAAATATCTTTACATTCACTAATTACAAATCTACAAGACTTCATTTCCCCTTGAAAATAAATCGATCAATTAGCAATAATTATTCAATCATAATTGCTCACATTTGGTACTTACTTTTGTTGTTCATCCGTTGCATATTCATACATCCAACCAAGCTTAGCATTGCAGTTCTTGCACATTACATCTCGCACCATGTGACGGCCCGTCAACATGACCCTCTCCTGGACATTGCTGAATGTAAGATTCACCACACGTTTGAAGAGATAAGCTCGTCCTATAGACAACAGATGTATTGACGTAATTCCAACGCAAAAGATGATAATTATAATTGAGTGATTACACACACCGTCGGGGGGAAAACAGAACCACAAAAAACAAATACAATACGTACTATATTACATACGATGCGCAATTACCTTTATGTGTGACACACAATTACATCAAACAAGAAACGGAAAATGATGGAACACAAAGTACAGAGACAGATAAGAAGAAATTGAACTTACCGGTGGCTCCTGTAAAGCGCGTACTTATCAATTGATTGCGATTGGTAAGGTTCGTTTGACACTGGCCACAGTTGAACAAACGAATGCCCCCCAGATGTTCCAAAAATACACGGCCCATTTCAAATGCGTATTCGTTTGTTCGAGTGTTGTTGTTGAAGAGCAAGTAAATGAATAGAGGAGCTGTTGTATTCTTCTATGATGGGACAAGATTCCCAAAATAACTTACACAAGACTGGTGTCAGATAGCAGCCAAGAATGTATTATAGGTGGTTGCTTTGATTCCAATTATCTGAAGTAACTGGGATTTGTTTACAATGGAATTTTTATGACACTTGTGGTTTATTTGTTGATGAAAAATCGTTTTTGTTGTAATTAATTTTTTGCCAGTCGTCTTTGTTGTTTTTCCTTTTTTTCAATAACGCTAGTGAAGGAATAAGTCTGATTATTCGTATAATAGAGTTATCGATACCAGCTGTTATCAGACATATGTTTGCGTTTAGGTTACACACAATCGAGCAAAGGGATAGCAGAAGTGACAGTTATTTTTAAAAATTTCTGCTTGCCAAAGGGGTATAAAATAAAAAGAAAAATGATTAGAATGTTAACATAAAAACACAGTCAGCACATTGCTTCATTTTCTTGCTATAAATATGTAGAATTACAAAGGAAAAACCAAGGTGTTGAAAAATTCTGACGCCGTTGACCTTTATAAAGTATAACCTTTGACATATTTTCAATCGAAATGGTAAAATTTACGAATTATTTTAAATAAAATAGTATTTGTTATTAAAACAATATTTTTTATAATTTTTAGGTGTTTTAAGAGTTAGTCTGTTCCAGAACTCCAAGAATGTTAAACATTTGACTATAATAACTGATTTTTCCTTTGTGATATCAAAAAATGAAAATTGAAAAACTAGTAGACTCTTGCAGGTTCTGGAACAGAACAAGTGATCTAAAGTTACAAGTTTCCCATGGCAAAACAATAGAGGTACACTCATTTGTTTAATTGAATATGCCAACCTTTTTTTTTTGGCGAACTCGACCCTGTCATTTTTCAAATAAATGGCGAGTGGCAGTTTTTACAAAAATAATTAATAATTTTTCTGTTCCAGAACTGCAAGAATGTACAACTTATTACTACGATAATCGATTTTCCTTTTATGATATCGAAAAACATTCAAAACTAGTAGATTGTTGCAGGTTTTGTATAAAACGACATCTTTCGCTGACAAGAAATTAAGGTCAAATGGACCGCCATAACAGCCGATGGTCGCTCTCCGCTCGTATTAATCGACCGTGGCATCGGAATAAATACCGAATATTATCGCGAAAATACTCTGGAGGGTGTATTAAAGCCTTGGGCACACAAACATTTTGTCCGTAGATCTTGGACATTCTAACAGGACTCAGCACCATCGCACTCAGCATGCGCCACCCAAGAATGGCACCAAAATCTCCAGATACCAATCCGTTGGACTATTGTGTCTGGAATATTTTGGAATGTAAGGTTGCCACTAAAAAATACCAAAGTGTCGATCACCTCAAGCGCAAGCGCTTCGCCGGGAATTTTCCAAAATACCGCAGAAAAACATTCGGGAGTGTGTGACGGTTTCATTGACCTTTTGAAGGCCATAATTCGTGCCAAAGGTGACCAATTCGAACAAATTTAAACTTATTCTAAAATTTGATGCTATTTGCAACATTTTTCGCTTTCCTTCAATAAAAATTAAAAAAAATGTAGAAATTGTGGGGTTTGACTTATAATTGTCATTCCTCATTTTTTATAAATAAGCGCTTTATGTATTCCCACCTTAACATCACCGAAAACGTTTCCTTAAGATGAAGGGTTTGAAATCGTTATCTTTCCAAGTCCAAGAACTGATAAATAAACTTGGTTCGTGCCACGGAACAGCGAAAATTAAAGTTTATTTATTTATTTTTTTTTAAACCTGCCACTCGTCATACGTAAATATTTTGTATATGAATGAAAGTTAACGGCTATCTGTAGATAGAGTCTAATTATTGTTATTATTATGACCACCAAAGATAAGATGAAAAAAATCGTGGAATAATTTACTTTTGCCGATAATCGTTTGCGCTGACCCGCTCCAGTAGTAAGCGGGTTGTTTTACTGAACGGATCATAAATAAGACCATGGTGGCTACGAAAGTAAGAGAATTTTTAATTAATTTAAAAAAAAAAAACAATGAAAAGCTATTGGAAATAAGTAAACAATGTCTCTTCAGTGGACTAAAGGAAAATAACTGGCATATTTTCAGGAAAGGTTTGATAACCCCAGTGAATAAAAATTGTTGATACAGACATTTTTTTCTTTTGAATTGAGGGAACACTTGTTTGAACCAACCGACTTTTCGATGAATTAATTGTTTTGACAAGCCAAAAATTGTAAGCAAAAAAATTATCTAAAAGTGTGGTTAGTGGGTCAATAAGTGTAAATGTTTTGCCATTTAATTAAATGCTAATAACCTAAGTGACACATCTAATAAATAATACACTTTATTTCACCCCTATGACAGTTGTTCAGTATTTACGGGTATTTAGTTGCAAATAGGTCTTTAATGCCGGTATTACCGGTAAATATAAATGTTACGTTTTCACGAATTCTTAATTGCACATTGATACTCTATAACAAATTAATAGAAAATGATATAAATTAACAAAAAAAGTATATATATATATATATATATTTTTTTTTTTTTTTTTTTTTGGTCTACTAAAATCAGCACGCAGTACTGGGGAAAAAATACTGCAACAAAGTCAAACGCCATAACATTTACATTTTTTTAAATCTTATTGAATGAAAGCAAAAACTGTCGGAAATAGCATCAAATTTTAGAAAAAAAATTAGATTTGTTCGAATTGGTCACCTTTGACACGAATTATGGCCTTCAAACGTCCAATGAAACCGTCACACGCTGGCCGAATGTTGCTCTGTGGTATTTTGACCCATTCCTGCCGAAGTGCTTGCTTGAGGTGATCGACACTTTGGTATTTTTTAGTGCCAACCTTGATTTCCAAAATACTCCAGACACAATAGTCCAACGGATTGGTATCCGGAGATTTTGGTGGCCATTGTGCGCTGTAAATGAAGCGAGGAGCCTCATTTTGTAACTATTCTTGGGTGGCGCGTGCTAAGTACGAAGGTGCTGAGTCCTGTTCCAATGTTCAAAGTCTGCGGTCAATATATTTGCCTGCCCAAGGTTTTAATACACTCTCCAGAATATTTTCGCAATAATATTCGGCATTTATTCTAATGCCACGGTCGATTAATACGAGCGGAGAGCGACCATCGACACCATCACCATGGCCGGCGCTTGAGTTCTGGTGGCCAACCGAAGGTGCACATTTTCAGCTGACCTCTTTGGCAAGTAAACCCGATCATTTTGTTCGTTGACAACCTGCTGGACAGCGAATGTTTTCTCATCGGAGTGGAGAAAACGAAATTCGTCAGTTCACCACTTTCGGCCAAGCGGTGTAAGTTCTTGCACTTCTTGGAATTTCAATGGTTTTAGCGTGAGCTCATTTTTCAATATTTGCCGAATGGAATAATGCGATATGTTCAGCCCACGAGCCATTTTTCGACCGCTGCGACGCGGGTTTCGATCAAGTCGCTTCTTTACTTTTCGAACCATTTCGGCTAATGTTGCTGTTTTCTTTCTTTCACTTCCTTGACGTCGGGCTACGCTACGAGACACAAAAGATTTATTCACATTTAAATGCTGGAGTGCTCTAACGATAGCCACGCTTGAATTCCATCACGAATAACATTTTTTCTGGAAAATTCTCGGCAAAATGCTTTTGTACGCTTGTAAACAATATAATGTGCTGTCACTGGAATAATTTTAACAGCTGTCTGACGAGTGACTTAGAAATGACAGCAGTCTGAAGTTGGTTGCAGTTTTTTCAACTCACCCTGTATTTAAAAATACCATGAAATAAACGTATGCAATTAGTGAACGGTTTATCAGGAAACCCAATAAACTTCTGAAATCTTATCAATCCTATGAATGGAGCCTCCAACCGATGTTTTTGCTATATGAGACACCATTAATAAATAATAAAGTCGATTTTATATGTTTATAATAGGGTAGATTTAAAATGATTGTGGCATAAATAATAAAAAAAAAACATTTCAGATTAATTGCTGTGTTTATTTAAGTGAAAGCGAATTCCGAGAATATTTCAATAGTTATTTTTATTAAATATAATTTAAATCAGAGAATAGACAGACATTTTTAATATCCACAAATTTTTCTTCTTCCAGATACTTTGTTTGGCTGTAATTTCGGCCGTGTTACCCCACACAATACTGGTAAGTATATTTTAATACATGGCAGAATGAAAGAGGCAATCTCATTTGCCAAATCGGTAATGGCAATCCTTTGTTATCAGGCATGGCACAAAAACAATTCCGATCGAAAGTAGAATAAATTCCGTATTGAGCATCTTCAGAAAAATAAAAACCATGGTATAATAATGTGGTAGAACAGCATCGTAAAACTAAATAAATACTCAGAGCTGGCTATGCCCGCTTCCTGTCAGAATTATTCACTTTTAAAATGAGTCAAATAGGGCAAAAGATAAATGAAATGTCTGGATGTTCTCTTAAAAATATGATCCTCAGTGTTCAATCCTTAAATTTCGTGGCAAATCTGGTTAATATCATTAATGCGCGCCCCGCAATTTAAGTTTCTTCCAATCATTGATTTTGAAAATATTTTGTTTTTATTTTTCAAAACAATTCATATAAGTTGGCAGAAATCGGGCACTCTTAGAAAAAAATTGTAATCAGGTGGTAGCTTTACTTTACCTTTTTATTGTACTATGCTAAAAACTAATTTTTTTCGCAATGAAACTTCGTTTGATTTTGCAAGTGGAGTTATATTTTTTGGGAATTTATAACTTTAGAACACTCGATGGAAAAAATATTAGACGTAAAATCATTTGCTGAATGGAATATGGCAACCTTTTTGTGACGAACTCGACCTTGACATTTAAAAATATCAATTTTCATACCTAAAATATTTTCGTATGACGAGTGGCAGCTTTTACAAAAGTAAGGCTGCGAATACATAAAAAGCTTGAAGTCATGGCTAGGCATATTAATGCCAAATTATAATGAAAAACGACGGCAGGATATTAGTGCGGCTCTGTAATTCCTTTGTGAAATGTCACAAAATAGGCCGTGCCATGACTTCAAGCTTCTTATGTACTTAGCCCTTAATATTTTATTTTTGGCGTTCCTTGGCAAGTAAAAACGGTCTTATGTTCCACATCTTAAGGTGGGAGTACATAAAAAGCTTTTTTGAGTTGCATAAGTCATCAGCTGGCTTCTTCGTAGAGGAACAAAGGAGTTTTAGGTTTACTTAGTTCAAATTCGGCCCTATGCTTCTTTGTTCTTTTCCAAAGAAGCCAGTCGATTACGTAGGCCAGTCAAAAAAGCGTTTTATGTATTCTCCCCTTCAGAAAGATTCCAAGATCTCAAACCCTTCATCTTAAGAAAACATTTTCGGTAATATTAGTTCTTGTGTTGGTCTCGAGTGTACTTTAACCTTAGATCTGCCTTTAAGGGTCAAATCCTCAGAATTACCAGTTTAGAAATGTTGCCCAAATCTTCACAATACCTGCTATATGGAATCTGTACTGAAACGAAAACTTACACTGACATGTTCTTGTAACGAGTTTAATGTCAATTCTACTAAAAGGGAGAATACATAAAACGTTTTTTTGCCTGGCTTAAGTCATCGGCTGGCTTCTTTGGAAAGGAGCAAAGGGCCAAAATCGAACTAAGTCAACCTAAAACTCCTTTGTTCCTCTACGAAAAAATCAGCCGATGACTGCAAGAATCTACTAGGTTTGCAATTTTTTTCGGTATCATAAAAGGAAAATCGGTTTAAATAGTAAAAACTTTTACATTCTTGTATTTCTGGAACAGACCATTTTTTTCAGTTCTGACCAAAAAAGACCAAAAATTTAATCAAAAGTGTTGTTCGTTTATTATTGTTCTGTTCCGGAACTACAAGAATGTGAAAGTTTTTACTGCGATAAGCGATTTTCCCTTTATGATATCGAAAAAAATGCAAACATAGTAGATTCTTGCAGGTCCTGGACTAACTAGTACATTCTTGCTGGTTCTAGAACAGAGCATATATAAGCATAAGTCATTTATAAATGCTCTGTTTCAGAACCTCCAAAATTCTACATTTTTTGAATCTTCGTTCGATATCATAATGTGAAAATCGGTTATCGTAGAAAAAATCTGTTGCAGAACCTGGAAGAATCCAATGTTTTTGCAATTTTTTCACTATTTTTGAAAATTTCCAGAAAGGGAAAGTCGGTTATCGTAGCAAAAACTGTTCTAGAACTGCCAGAATGTGCAACTTTTTGGTACAATAACCGGTTTTCTCTTTATGTTATCGAAAAAATTGCACAACTAGTAAATCCTTGCAGGTTCTGGAACAGAGCATATATTTTTTCCATGAAAAAAGGGCTCGCTGTAATCGAAAAAGTACATATGTACCATGATGCAATAATACAGGTAGGCGCATCACTACAGCTGCTGATACAATGAGCTGTCATTTTTTTTTTTAATTTTGAATGAAAAATAATTTCAATTAGTGGAATTTATTAAAGATCACTTATCATACAAACCTTTGGACGACATCGTAAAAGAAAATTTTTTGAAATCCATTTATTTTCGCTGCTATATATAAATCTTGGTGACATATGAATGTCGGCGAGTGTTAATGCATCTACCTGTATTCTTCTATCATGATATGTATTTCACAAATGAAATGCCGTCCATATACATATGAAAAATTTGACACTACATATGACATATGTAAAACGCTTATCGTTTGATAGCAGCTTAATGCAGATATGGATATGCTCATTTGAAATAATTTCACTTCCTTGATTCTTCCATGGACCGTCATTGCTTTACTAATTTAGGCGGTGTCTTTGGTTTTTTTAATTTTTCATATTAACCTATTGCTTTCTTTCTTTGACAGTCCCAACACATAGTTCCCACCCTATTGGTGCATGGTGGTGCCGGAGATGTAAGCGACGATTCTATTCCATATAAAAACGCTGGTGTTAAGCTAGCAGCCCGTATTGGTTATGAAGCCTTGAAAAAGACCGGCAATGTCGTCGAAGCTGTACAACAAGCTGTCCAGGCTATGGAGGAAAATGATCAATTCAATGCTGGTTATGGCGGTGTCCTGACATGGGAGGGAAATGTGGAAATGGATGCAGCGATTATGGAAGGTGCCACTTTGGATGCTGGCTGTGTTTCGCTCATTCGTGATATTCTACATCCCATTGCCCTGGCTCGTAGTGTTATGGAAAAGACACGACACAAATATTTGGCCGGTGATGGTGCCATGGCCTTTGCCATTGAAGATGGTTTTGAAATATTGCCCGAAGGTTCTCTGGTAACGGAGCGAGCGAAAAAAGCTTTGGAGGACTATAAGAATAGTTTGAATAAAACAAATTCGGCATGTGATGACGAGGAGGAACAACCGGAGATTGGTGATAAGGTGTTTGGTTCTCCCGGTACTGTGGGCGCTGTGGCCATTGATGCTTATGGCAATGTGGCGGCTGCCACATCAACGGGGGGTATTACTGGAAAAATGCCTGGCCGTATTGGAGACTCACCAATTTTGGGTGGCGGCACCTATGCCGATAATGCTGCTGGTTGTATCTCGGCCACCGGTAATGGTGAGACCATTATGCGTTATAATGTTGCCTCAAGAATTCTGAGTTTAATCGAACATTTCGGCCTGACTGCCCAAGAGGCTACTGCCGCTGTTTTGGAACAAATGACGGTGCGTTTTAATCAGACAGCTGGTGTTATTAGCATTGATCCGAATGGTAATTTGGGAATCTACTTTACATCGAGACGCATGTCGTGGGCCTATCAACGTGGCGATGAACTTCATTATGGCATCGATAAAGGTGAAGATATTGTGGAAATAATTGGTGAACCAAGGGTGAAATTTTAAAATGTCGGATAGACACACATACATATACACATAAAAATATTAAATTTGGAAATTTTTAATAATAAAATAACTAAATATTTTTTTTACTAATTTTAGTATCTTGTTATTTGAAAATTATACATGGCAATAGATTTTGATTTATATGATTTTTTTTTTAATTTGAGCAATTATAAGACTGATTGTTTTTAAACGTTGGGCGCCACAGTTTGTGTTGGGCTTAGCTGTCAAGTCCTTCTTATAGTACGGAGGCAATTACATTAAAAACAGTCAAATTATACAACTTTTAGCCCTGCTGAAGAATATCCCACTTGACGTGTTTCGATCAGTCCCCTTCTATCCGGATCGTAAATAATGGCTACGATAAATTCTTTCGTAGATGGAATGAAAGTGAGAATGGTAGAGTAAAGGTGAAAGTACATATTTGGCTGCCTTAAGTCATCGGCTGGCTTCTTCGTAGATGAACAAAGGAGTTTTAGGTTGACTTAGTTCGATTTTGGCCCTAGGCTCCTTTGTTAATTTCCGAAGAAGCCAGCCAGATAAGCGCTTTATGTATTCTCACCTTAACTCTCAGATTTATCCCGGGTATTACTTTTGCTCAGACGAACCCCGATTTTGGTGTTGGACTTCACTTAAATGCGTTTTTGTATAGAGGGAAAAATTCTATTCGAGGACTGGCTACAGGGATTGTATTAATGTCCTTTTTATGATGATTATATAAATCTAGAGTCCATGGACCAATGGGATGTTAGTCGTGTTCTCTCCACTGGTTTTACGCATGCTAGCCTTGCGGAGTTTGCTAGTTGAGCTTTCGCCTGTCATCGGACACTGGTGTGAATAGTAAATGCGTTGTATGAATGTGTCTGCTTTTTGTGTATGAGTATGAATGTGGGATAAGTGTGTTTAGGAGGTCTTAGAATGTTTCTTTTCCCTGAACACGTGGGGCTGAAACTGGAAGTAACTCGGTTAAAAGATCTGACCAGAGGTAATTTTCTGGTACCTCAGGTGGTGCCTCAGCATCATTGATCTTTAAGATCTTGTCGGCGCACTTTCAAACCAAATAGGTTGCTGTTCATCAACCTCAGATCGGAAGAGGTGAATAGGCCTCGCTTCTCCCAGTGAGAAAGCTACGTCCATGTAAACGTGGTGATTAGACTGCTCCATCACTTGTGTTGCACAATCATATTCCCTGATCGTGCCTTAAGATTCTCTCATTTTGGGTGACCAGTCTCGTGTTATATGGAACACAAACTGGTAGTAGTTTCGACTACGAAGTCTGACCGGAAACTATTCTGGGGTTTCGGTTGTCAGGAGGCCCTTGTTCTGTTGATCTGGCTGGAATATATAGGGTAAAAAAATGTCGGAAATAGCATGAAATTTTCGAAAAAGGTTTAGATTTGTTCGAACTGGTCAACATTGGCATGAACTATGGCCCTCAAACGGCCAAAACACGCTGCCCAAATATTGCTCTGCGGTGTTTTGGTCCATTCCCGGCGAAGCGTTTGCTTGAGGTGATCGACACTTTAGTATTTTTTAGTACCTTGCTTGCTAAAAATAGTACCTTTAGTACCTTGCTTTCCAAAATACTCCAGACACAATAGTCCAATGGTTTGATATCCGGAGATTTTGGTGGCCATTGTGCGCTGGAAATGAAGCGAAGAACCTCATTTTGTAACCATTCTAAGGTGACGCGTGCTGAGTCCTGTCGGAATGTCCAAGGTCTGCGAAAAAAATGTTTACGTGCCCAAGGCTTTAATACACCCTCCAGAATATTTTCGCGATAATATTCGGCATTTATTCTGATGCCACGATCGATTAATATGAACGGAGAACGACCATCGGCTATTATGGTGGCCCACACCATCATCATGGTCGGCGCTTGAGTTCTGGTGGCCAACCGAAGGTGCACATTTTCAGCTGACCTCTTTGGCAAGTAAACACGATCATTTTATTTGTTTACAAACTGCTGGACCACGAATATTTTCTCATCGAAGAAAACCAAATTCGGCAGTTCACCACTTTCGGCCAAGCGAAGCAACTCTTTAGCTTTTTTGAGTCAATTTTCTTTTCGTTGCGTGGTAAGTTCTTGCACTTTTTGGAATTTCAATGGCTTTACCCGACCTCATTTTTTCAATATTTTGGCACGAGACACAAAATATTTATTCACATTTAAATGCAGTAGTGCTCTAACGATAGCCACTTGTGGCTTTCCAGGCAAATAAAAAGAAATCACACTATCACGCTTGAATTTTCTGGAAAATTCTCACCAAAATGCTTTTGTAGCTTGTAAACAACATAATGAGCTGTCACTAGAATAATTTTAACAGCTATCGGTCGAGTGGCTTAGAAATGATAGCAGTCTTAAGTTGGTTGCAGTTTTTTCATCTCACCCTGTATAGCTGATATTCGAATTGATACCTTTTGAATAGACCTAGAACTCTGTGGAGGGCTCCCACTCTCTAAGATAACTCTGGATAATACAAAAGGGGCGCTCGCTGACGCATCCTAGCTTGACCCCTGTGCAGAGGTGCATCATTGTTAAATCCGTCAAAGCGAAAATCATGTAAAACCTCCTCGACATCAGTCTCTTCTGTCCGTCAACCAAATTTCGTCTAGAGATACACGGTCGACTTTGTCAAATGAATCAAAAATCGATTTTCAATTATGACTTTTCGAACCAAAGTCGATTTTATTCGATTTCGATTTTCCGATGTGTTGTCCTCCCAAATACTTAATCACTGCACATTAAGCAAAGTTTCATTTCGGTCTGGGTTTGATTACATTTGGTCATATAGTGGGAAAAAGGACGCATGTACTATCGTACGTTCTGGCTCTGTGGAGAGAATTTCGGCAAAATTTGGCGAAAAATGCAAAAAAAAAATTATTGCATTAAAAACCCATTCTTCAAAAATTACTCCCAAATATTTTTTTTTTAATTTTTTTACATTTATTTAAGAATTTTCTTATTCTCAAAAATCTTTATTTCATTTCTTTTCTAATTTCAATATTATATTTATAATTTCTTTGTTGTTGTTGTTTTGTTCCAATAAATAATTTACAATAGTTCTTTGTTTTTGTTTTGTCCATTTCTTACACTTCTGTTTCTGATAAATAGTTAATAATAGGGGATTTTCTTAATTGGATACCTGGTAATTGTTTCATCATTTCCTTTTTTTGTTTTGTTTGTTCATTGTTTTCATATAAAATTATGGATGATCTTAGCTACTAAAAATTATAACATTTTTTTTGGTTTTTGTTGTTTTTTGCTAATTATTTTCCTGTCTCTCTTAAATAGGTTTTTTGTTTTGTTAGTGTTTTTACTGTTATTATTTTTGTTTTTGTTAAAATTGAATTTTGATATCTAGACTGGTTGGAGAGTATATTGAGGTGCAATGGAGGTTCAATCAGAGAGATATTGATTGATTTATATTGCAAATATTGGTAGACTCATGGTAATACTCATAGTACAATGAAGACAAGGTAGGCTAATCTTAAAAAAAATTGCCACTATAGAGGTCTACCTGTTTTGGCTCGTAATGTTAAAATTATTAGCAAAACAATCAAACCACTTGTTGCATTGATTTTGAATAAATAATTGAAAACCGCGAAAATTGAATGAAAGGTCGGAATTTCTTTTCAAAATCATTTTCGAATTTTAAAATAATTCCGCTGAAAAATGTGGCTAGAATTATCAAAATACCGAAGATACGCTGAAGATAGTACCTATTGGCAACACCAAAACCTAGTTTGAAGTACACAACTCCGTTGAACAAAGCCGCTTAAATCATCAAAATACCAAATATAGGGAGGTACCTTTATATGGCCTAGATGTGGTTTTGTACAGATAATTTTTAGTAAAGAAAGTAGTACCCACTGCGATCTCCAAATTTGAAATAATAGCTAAATTTGAAACTGTAGCTAAAATCAGCAAAATGAAGAATATTGGGATCACAAAAATGCCGAATAAGGGTGTTATGTAAAGGCGTGGACCTGTATATGCAATTTTTTTATCAGTGGATGTAGCATCCAATACGAACTCCAAATACCAAAAGTTATAGAATTCCGTAAAATGTGACACAAATCATCAAAATACCGAATATCGGGTTATTAGGCACTTTACCTAAGCTTGGATCTATTTGGGCAGTTCTTTGCAAAGATTTGTCGTACATATGGGGAACTGCCAATTTACAGCAAATTCTGATAAAAAAATATGAATAAAACAGCCAAAATACGAAAATCTGGCGGTACCATTATATGGAGGCTTTATCAAAATGTGGACCTATAAAATGCATCTCCACAAAATTTCATCAACCTACTTCATTTCGTTGGGAATCTAGAGTTATTTTTCACAGACGGGCGTACATGGCTGTATCGACATAGAATCATATGCTGATCTATCACACTATCACGCAAAAAATTAGGGAGATTGGGACTTAAGATGAGAATACATAACACGCTTTTTTTGATAGGATTAAGTCATCAGCTGGCTTCTTCGGAAAAGAATTAAGGAGCTAACTCGAACAAAGTCAACTAAAACTCCGAGACTTAACCCTGTATTCACATAAAGTATGGCTTTAACCCTAAAGTGTTTTTTTTAATATTTATAAGTTCCTGGTGTTTTGGTAAGATTTTGAATTTAGGGGGAAATTTCCTGAATATATATATTTTGTAATACAGCGTTATTTTTTCGGGTTTAAAAGTAAATATTCTATATGCATAGATCGACCTCAATTTCCTCAATACATATTCTCCAAATTTGTTTCCTATAATTTTCAATAAACATATTTCATTTTTCCAGATTAACCTTTTCATATGCAGCAGCATCTAATTTTGGATGTGTGTGCCTGGTCATTTTTATTTTTTAATTTAATTTTTTTCTATTCAATCATTGACGATCATTTGTAATGATCTTTTCTTTTTTTTTTTTTTTTGAAATTCATTGATTTGATTGGATTGACATACAAAAATTCTTATAAAAAATTCCACAAAAAATACAAGTATAAACACATTATTTTTTTATTTTATTTTCACATTGATTGT